ATAAATTCATTCAAAAAAACTTTGAATTTTCATATGATGATTCTCCAACTATCTTGCTTGAAGATAATAGTGCTTGTATTACACGGATGCAAGTTGGTTTCATTAAAGACGATGTCGTAATACATGGAGTCTTGCTTGAGAATACTCTAGGCACCTAGTTGTCGAATGTAGAATGATAATTGCAACAAAAAAATCATAATTCTAATAGAATACTAATAATGCCAAATAAACTTTAATCGAATTCAGAGTAACCTCAAAGTAATTCCAAAGAAACAATAAGAAAACTTAAAGAAATATTAGAATGATTACAAACATATCTCAAATACATCTCAATTCAATCTTAATTTAATCCTAGTTGAAATCTTATTGGACTTCATTCAAACTTTAGACCAAAAACTAACTAAATCTTAAATCCTAAACAAACTCAAATATAATCTTAAATCCTAAATCAAATCCTGATCAAATCCTAACCAAACCTTAGATCCTAAACCAAATCCTAAATCCTAAATCAAATCCTAACCAAATCCTAAATCAAATCCTAACCAAATCCTAAATCCTAAATCAAACTCTAATCCTTAATCAAATCCTAATCAAATCCTAAATCCTAAATCAAATCCTAATCCTAAATCAAACCCTAACCAAATCCTAACTCTAAATCAAACCCTAATCAAATCCTAATCCTAAATCAAATCCTAACCAATCCTAAACCAAATCCTAAATTCTAAACCAAATCCTAACCCTAAATCAAATCCTAACCAAATTCTAATCCTAAATCAAATCCCAACCAAATCCTAGTAATTTCTACAATAAAATTAAACCTCAATAACTAATGAATGAACCGTTGATCTTAACTCAAATTTTACACACTTCTTAAAAACTAAACTAAAAACAAGAATTTTTTTTTTTGAAAAAGATCGAAATTACCAAATAGATGATAATCTCAAAAACGTGCTCAAGTATTGGCCGGCCTCTTCTTCCAACCTTGATGCCAATCTCCTAGAGCCAATATCTCTTCTTTCCACCATTTTATTGATTTTAAAATTCTTATACACATAGAAAAACAAGTCTAATATCCTCTCATACAAATTTCACTCCAATGCAACTGGTAGATTCCAAGAAATCTTTAAAACCCTCACTAGACCTAAAATTCTATTTTTTGAGACCTTAACTCACTTAAACCTCAATAACTCTCAATTAAACTGTTAAATCAAGCTAAGATTCACAACAAATATTAAGTACACCTATAATCATTAATCTACAAAATTTTATCTGTAGATCTGTTACAAAACTCTTGAAATCACTAGAAACATCATTCCTATTTTATTTCACAAGATCCAAGTCATCTGAAACAAACCTTAACTTTGCAAAGCACTTACAAAGTCAATACAGATCTAAATCACCCAAAATCAATGCTCATTCAAACTCTATTAAGTCTATTCTCTAACTCCATTCTTCGATCTACAAAAAAATCCTAGAATCGTTATCGAGACTCGGTTTTGTGCCTCAAGGTCTGATTTCAATCCTAGTTCATAACTAATCCTCTCTAAGTATCAGTATCTAGTTTTTTTAAGTAATTTTTGCTAGAATTTACTCTTAACTTCTTCCTAAAGATGTCTATATCTTTTATTTTTCCAATCTATCTTATTTTGCCTTATTTTTGGCCCTACAAAGTAAGTAGAAGCTATTTTTTTCTAAAAGGGCAGCATTACTACTAAATGTTTTACTACCTTCCTATCTTTTATCTATATTTTTCTACTTTTTCTTTTAACTTGGCTCTTCTATAATAAGATCCATATTATTATCTTTCACCATATGGTCATGTTACAACACGACAACGACAAGACAAAGCATATTGATCCAAAGTATTTTAGTTATACTCATGACTTGATTATTGATCAAGCTCTTACAATTAAGAAAATTGAATCTGCAAATAACCTTGCTGATCTCTTCACCAAAGCTCTTTCATTATGCAACCATCGTCGACTTACTTATGACATTGGTATGTAGTGACTTGCTTTTCTTGAATAAGAAAGTTAATGAAATCTTTAAATAATTAAAAAAAATGATGTTGTACTCTTTTTTCATCATCTAGGATTTTGTCCATAAATACAATAAGGTTTTCTTAGATAAGGTTTTAATGAGGCAACAATTGTTGATCTTGTAAGATCATAGAAAAGTATAGATCATAATTCTATACAAATTTTATATTATGTAAATATTATGATGAGCAAGGAGGAGTGTTGAGAGCATTAAATATAGCCGATGCTCTCCATAATATTTATTGTAGATTACAGTAAATACTATAGTTGCAATATTTAGAGTCTAGTGGAGAAGAACTGTTTATCCTCTCCTCTTTCTCTTCTTGTATATGAGACACAACCAGATCGATAGATTTTTATGTGTGAAGCTCTCTCTCCTTAGAAACCCTCTTATGTGTATGACTTACTACTACTCTTGTGTGTGTGTATTACTTACTACTACTCTTGTGTCTTTCTAAACATTCTCAATAATAATAAAATTACTTACAATGTTCTTTTGACCACCAATACATAAATTTGTACACTTCAATTTGCTATTAGATCATCTTAAAAGACTTGGTCGAAAATTCAAAACTACATATAAATAAGACACTGATATAATGTTTAAATTTGTTTAAATGATTCTACTTCTGAAAGTATGTATTTAATGAATATTTATTTTTTAAAAAATATTAATGGATATTGTAGAATATTTTATGATTATTATAAAAATAAAAAATGATTATATAGTTATTCAAAAACATTAAGATAAAATTTTAGGTGTTTCTCTTCAAAATATAGAATTTAAACATTGAATTACATCAAAATTGATAAAGCAATATTTTTGAGTAAATTATATATATATATATATATATATATATAACAAATTTCTTTTGAACTATAATGTAAATAATTCTTATGGTTATTAGGTTTTTTTTTTTTTTTTTTTTTTTTTTTTTAATCACATATGGTGATTCAAGTAAGTGCATAATACCATTAGTAAATACCCAATTCATTACTACTATACTTTTTCAAAAAGTATTTGTATCAATATAATAACATTTTAATATAATTCTATTGTGAGTTTTACATCATAACAAATATTGATCAAATGCACTATTTACAATTTGATCCGAATTTCCTATATTTTCAATATATGTATACTTATTTTTTTGATTGATATAAGTTTGATATAATAATTATGTAGACTTATTATACTTGAAGTATAATTACATCATAATAAATTCCAAAAAATTATACAATAACTTTTATTAAAATTATTTATGAAAATAAATATAACAAAAAAAAATCTTTGATGTTTTTTTAAAAAGTTGCATTGAAAGTTCTTAAAATTACACAAAAAATAACAAATATTAAAATAAAATCCCAAACATAATATAATGTTTATATTTGAACACTAGAACATGTATCTATTTGAGATATGATGAACACATTACTATTATTGTCATTATTGCCTTTTGATATTAAAACTCAATATCAATAATATCAAAAGATACTATCATTATCGATATTGAGTTTTAAGAATTTATCAATGCCAAAAGACTTCAAGTTTAAACTAATTAAAAAAGAACTTATAAAGTTTATTTTTTAGTGTGGGACTACAAAAATCCTAATTTTTAGTAGCTTGTAACTTTTAGAATATTCCAAGCTTGTTTCATATATGGACATTACAAGGATAAATATTTGACTATTATAAGCCTGAAATTTTAAATTCAACTTAGAAATTATAAAAGTCCATCAAATATATAATATTTCATGATCTTTATCACCTCAATTGATTTGGTATGATTTTTTTTTTTTTTTTTTTTTTTTTCAATTTGAAATTATCTTAATTTTAAAATAACTATATTCACACCAACAATTGTTGGTTTTGACAGTGATTTTTTTACTGTAGAATTCATTGTATTCAAAAATAAATCAATAAAAAAAACTTTTTGGTTATAAATCTCTTATACCTAATTAAAACATATCCTATAAAGAACCTTGATAATGCTATGCACAAAAATATAAAAATTTGAATTTGATAAGCCACATTGTTTGAACCAATGACATTGTGCCACCAATAATAGCCAAACTAATAGAAATACATTTGACATACAATGAATTACAATGCTTCCTGAAATAAAACACCTAGTTACATATAAATTTATGATTTGAAAAAATGTGGATGAATGTGAAAGTCAAAGTACATTCTAGAATATACACAAAATGAAGCAGAACTCAAACTCAACTCATTTGGGATTATAAATTTCCAAAATTTAATTTCATGAAATATTGTCCATGTAGAGTGTGTATGTATGTATATGTATATATATATATATATGCAACCGCTAGCAACCACTCTGCTTATTTAATAGTCCACAATTCTATTCAATTATTTCTCATGGATGACTATGACAAAGTAACGTAATTGGTAACTGTCCAGATGTTATAAGATAATCATTTTTACTCTGATTTGTCGTGCTTGAGGCGGTGGTTGCTAGAACACTGCTAGATTGGATTATTGCCGGTTCAGATCAGATTATAGCTTACTTTGCCTTGTTTCGTTCGTTTAAGTGTATGTGCTGATAAATATTGCGGCTTCTGCATTAGGCATAAACTGGGTAAACGTAAATGCTTCTACGTGCTTATTCTTCACTGGAGAGACGCGACAGGGTCACCACTGCTTCTCAACTCATTCGCAACTAGGTACTAGATAACCTAGGTAGTTTTAGCGTAATTTTACATACCAACATTTAGCAAGTAAATGATACGAGTAATTAGATTGCAGATAATGCAGGAACAAATAAAATTGAGTAGATTGGGTGTACGTTGGGCAATCCTTTGGAAGGTGGGTCTTGTTCTGAGCTTCTTTTAGCATCAAAAATAGAACGTACTGGACGCAGAACTGACCAGAGTGATGGAATTACTGGGAGTTGAGCCAGGTAAAGCGGTGCTATAAATCCAACAATTTGAGAAGCATTGTGGTTCAATTGAGATGCATATATTTATCCATGAAAAGATATTTTTGTCCTCCGCCACAGGAGACTACAGACAACCCTCAAAATGCCCTTCTAGAGCCTCTTTCTATGAACTCACCAGGTTAATTCAACCACTACGCTGGGTGAAAGAACGTCCCTCTATTGTCGCAACTCAGCCCTGACATAGTCAGCATCCTCGGTAACAGCGATGTCGACACTCGGCCTCAACTGAGCGCAGACAGCAATAGCCTGGTGAACTGGATCTGCCTTGAAGCTTTCTAGAACGTCCTTGTTGACAGCAGCTCCGTTGTCGACGGCGGTGTAAGCCTGCAAGAATTGATAGAATGAAGTTAAGTGTTATAGAGCATCTCAGGGAAACAAAGCTCAAGTCCATCGTGAAAGAAAAAGACAAGTCCATTATTTTCTTTCGCACCTGTTGAGTCAAAATGTAGTCAAATCGGGGGGCCCACTTGCGAGAACCGAGACGGGCAGTTGTAGAACAGTTATCCACCATAAAGGCAACTCCCCGAGCATGCATGAAAGGGTTGAGAGAGTCAACAGCCTCAATAACACTCTCATTCACCATCTCTGAGTATGAGTGACCCTTCTTCCTCAACACCTCAATCTGTGCAGTGCAGTACCAAATTAGAGTGGTATCGAGACACACAAATAGAACAAAACGAAAAACAAAATGCAATATCAAGTTACATTGATGAAACTTGAACATTAATCGATGGTTACAAACCTGAGCCATCATAAGAGCACAGTAAACACCGGCAGTGAAGGGGTGGAGTGGGCCCATGTCACCCTTAGGTCGTGAAGCGCGTACTTTCTCACCAACTTGCCACATCCGGGTCCCGTCAATTTTACCCATAGGAAAAGATGGCAAACCCTCCTTTTCCTGTGTTCAGTTCAAATAGAACAACAAAAAATAAAATCGGTCAGAAGAGCAAGCATGACCAAATACAGCTCAGAATAACTACCTACTATAAACGATAGCCATATATGAGATTCAGAAACAGTTGAAGGTCAGAGCATTTCCGGCATGAAACAAGACGCCACAGACTTCAGATGAACGAGAACTCACAGAGAATCGGCGACCAGCCAAAACGACGCTGCGGATCTCGTTACCGGAAGCAACATCCTCGTAGCACTCGTAGAGAATATCCATGGAGGGATAGAAAGATGCGCTGTAGGCTGCCTCGAACTCTTTTTTACCCTCCTCACTCAAAGACTCATACACAGCCAAAATGCCCTGCATGATGGTCACGAGAGACACTCAATCACAAACTACACGACTGGCATCTTGAGACTTCAAGAAGTGAAACAGCGAAAAAGTTCAGTACAAAAATTAGGAGACAATAAAAGCCCAAATGGACAAACCTGGGTTGAGATAGTTTTAGAGATAACGCCCGTGATACTCTCAACTGTGTTCTTGTAGGCGTCCTCTTCAGACATGCCACAGGCAGTGTATCGCCTAAACAAAGATTCGACGATTCCGTGCACTGCCCCCAAGAGAATACCTGCAGAATATACAACAAGCGTAAGAAATAGTACAGAAATTACACAAATGCTCAAAACTCATCACTTTAAACTGTAACAGAAATTCTTTCTTCAAAAACTACAGCTTCCCCAATGCACATTTCACAAAACCAGTCACCATGAAGAATACAATAAGCAGCTGCGTAATGTACCTCGCTCTCCATAGATGTCACTTTTGTACTCATCCTCGAGTGTAGTTGCGAAGGTGAAGGGCGAGCCCAAAGCAACAGACCAGCCGAGGGCAACATCTGTAGCTCTTCCATCAACATCCTGAAGTTCGAGAATCAAAGTTAATACAAAAAACTTGAGATCGGACTCTTACAGGTGATTCTTGGTACAATAAAGGCTATGCTTTCCTTACAGAAAAATGCCCTTTCCTGATTTTAATTGGGTGATGAACATATTCGTAACTAATCCCGTAAAATTTCATTAAAAGAAAAAAAGAAAACAAAAACAAAGATCTTAATTCTGAAATTCTGGCACTCTAAGAATTATTCAGATGAAGCTTAGTAGTCTGTATATTAAACCGTTTCCGGGATAGAGTGACCATATCGCACCTGATGTACAGCAAAGCTAGCATTGATACCGGCACCATTCACCTCCTTGCCTTGCACATACAGACGCCTGACAGATGGTCCCATTCCCTTGGGACAGACGGCAATCACACTAATGTCCTCAGGGAAGCTGTCGTTAACGGAGTTGAGGTGGCCTAAGAGAAAACCGTGCGACAGACCCAGGACAGACTTGGGCTTCATGGCTTTGAAAATGTCCTGGTAGTTGTCAGCCTACAATTTGACAAAGTTCACTATGAGAACACAATATTCCGCCAGCACATGCACAAAAAAACTAAATTGTCGAATTGTCGAATTTTCGCGTTACTCAAGAATCTGTAAACAAAGAAAAGATATGAAGGTCGGCAAACAGCGATGACTGTGGATGCAAGCTCTATAATAGAAGCATCACCTGTGCGGCATCAGAAATGAGAAGCAGGACCAAATCACTCTCAGCTACTGTCTCAAGAACGTCACCCAAGGTTCCGGACTCCTCTGTGAAGCCTACAGCCCTCGCATCCGCGCAGGATTTGGAACCCTTCCTCAAACCAATCTGGGACAAAAGCAAACATCATAGAAATCCAAAAAGCTTTACTCGAAATTATGACAAGTTCATTTTCTTTTTGCCTTGGCTAAACCAATTTCACCTGATCACTTAAAAATGATCAGACGCTACTCTCCCAATTCAGTTTCCAGATAAAACTAGTACATTCCTTCCAAAGACGCTGCAAATTGGAAAATTACCTTGACGACGATATCAGACTTAATTTCAGCCAGAGAATCGCGGATGTTCATGGCTTGAGCAGGTCCCTGTAATAAAAATCAGCAAAACATAAAATGGACACTTCGTCAAATTTTTCAGAGTGAAACTATAAAATCTTTCGAGAAAGTAATCCAAGTAAATTAAAATAGGTAAATGCTGGGGCCTCAGAAATAAGCCATAGAATTCCAACATAAAATGAAAGGGTGTGACACCTGAGATCCCCATCCAATCACTCCAATTTTCTTAATGCCCTTGAAGGCCTCTGGAAGCAAGTGGAATAGATCCCGTCCACCACGAACAATGTACTGCAAGTCAGAACAGGCAAACAGTATGGTATTGTCAAATTTAGGAGGAAAATTCACAATCTTGGATGCACGTGAAGTTTCAGTTCCACCAAAGTCTTGGATTATTCCATAAGAAGTGCTCACTGACGGGTGAAGAACAACAAGAGAATCATCCGTTAAGCCTTTTCCTGGGTCAACATCCTAGGTAACGATATTTTCAGACATGAAGCTGGGTTTAAGAAGTTTTGTATAAACCTGGACCACCAAAATTCCCAATGAAATTTCACAATGACAGCCGAAGAGGGTCAAACACCGCATTCCTTGCATGCAATTTGACCAAGCCAAGCACTCCAAGGACGAGAATGACACTTAAACAAAAAAAAAAAAAAAAAAAAAAAAAAAAAAAAATGCTCAGCCTTCACAACTGGCTCCATAGCAAGCAGAAATTCAAGTATCCTGTCCACACGCAGCAACCAACCCACCTCGTCACGACCAGCAGGGGTGATCTTTTCCTTCTTGAACACCTCAGATTGAAACTCCACATCGGCACCTCGCAGAGCAGGTGAGGCCACCATAGAGGCAGCGATAGCACCACCACGCATTCGGGACGGCACAGCCGCCACAGCAGCGCTCAAGCTCTTCTCAAGCTTGGGCGCAAACGCCACGATCCTCAACCCCGAAAAGGAAGCCATCTTGGCATTGGCACTGCCCACCACGGTCTCCGAGGAGCGGTGTGCCACACCCGCAGAGGCTGTGGCACAGTGAGAGAGAGTCACAGCGGCCATAACGTTAAACCCTCACAACCCACAAATGCACAGACACTGACACGGCCGCCGGGACTGCCAAACTCCTGAAAACGAATCCCACACCTCAATGTGGACTCATGAGCGAGAAGCAGCGGCGAGACCTAACCCCGGAGAGAGAAAGCGGATGGATCTGATCCGTCAAAAGATATGGGTATATACTACGGCAGGCGGTTGCGGAGAGCCTAGTGGGACATCTGTGGTGTTGGCGCTGATGCACAGAGTGGGGGTGAGGTCACCACAGTCCAGCGCAGCTCTCGTCGTGAAAAGCCTGACACGGCTTTAGGTGCAGCTGTGCCGGGGGTTTATCTCAACTCGCAGCGCCGCACGCATCGGGCGCTGCTGCTGCAGCCTGTCTCTGTGTTCCCCGCGACACTGCTCGAGAGTTCGATCGATGGTTGCTGCTTCTGTCTGTGCGAGCTTGCGCGGCGACCTTCACTCCGGGTCCCCCTCCCTTGCTTAACTTGCTTGCTCGCAAGGAACGAGCCGAGTTGCGTTCTTGACCTCCGTTCTGGTGGTTGTACCCTAGAACAGCTCTGTCTCTTACTGTGTGGTTTTGTTTTCTTTACGAGCGGACAATTTGACAGGTTAGCATTTCATGCATAATTTTATAATGTGATATTCAATTACAAACTATTGCTATCAAATAGAGGGTTTTAGACATGGCACTTTTGCAAAACCAAACAATTGGAATTCAGCACCTCATATTTTTAGGATCACTAAAAATAACAAATCCAAAACATCACTATTCAAATTTTATTACTTCCTGATATTATTTTTAATTCAAACTTTATTACCCCTTTATATGGAGTGAAAGAGGGACGAGAGCTAAGGCAAGCAACGTGGTTTTTGATATTTGATCCACCCTTATTTCGATATTTTGATTTCAAAATCATCCATCTTGCAAGGTGGGTGATTTGGTGAACTATCAAAAGATATTTTGAAATATTACATGATACTTCAAGCTTGCATCATGGGTGAAATATCACCCAAAAAGGCCATGTTTGTAACCCCGTGATGGTAACAACTCAAGCATTGTATATCCAAATGGAATTGTTTGGTGAATTGCTATTAAATGGTTTGATGATTTATAATTTTTTATTTTTTTAATTTTTTTTTCTTCTCTTCTCTTCAAGGAGAGATGTAAATGAATATTCACACATACATTGTCAAGTACACAGCAACAAGGGGCCAAATGATTGAAAAGTACAAGATAAACAAGATGTTAAATCAAGAACATAATTAAATACAAGATCAGTAATAAAATAACATTTAGATGGCTCCAAAAATGTATTGAGAGGATCAAAGAATTCCTTTGTCATGCCACCTTATGTATGTAACAACAACTAGACCTTATATTGGATTTTAGAAGAGGTTTTAAGAAATTTAAAATATTCTTTTGAATTAGAGAATCATATACAAATATTTGTAAAACACTAAAGAAGATCACAAATGATTATGAAAAGCCAAAAAAAAATTGGAAGCTAATAAAAGGTTTTATAAATTTTTAAATGACTATAAAAAGTTTAGAGGTTAATAGAAATCTACAAAAAGTATTAATAATATCCAAATTAAAATTATATATATAACTATATATATTACTTAAATTAATTTTAATTTGGATATTTAGGAAACAATGTATTTTTGTATCATTAAATGAGAGAAAATAGACAAATAAGATATAGATGTAAGATAGAAAGCAACTAGAATGGTTATTACAAATTATAAAGAACCTAAAGAATCTTAAATCAAGATTTGAATATAAAAATAATATTGATGAGATAAAAAATGGTTCAATTTTGCTTCTATATATAAAAGCTTTATAGAGATTGTAAGTCTTATGGCTCAAGCATCAAGATATAAGTTACTTCCAATCCAATTTCATAAAAATAAGAAACTTATAGGTCATGTTTTAATAGCTATGTAATATTTCTCTATAAGTTTAAATATATAATTTTTATCTAAAAATATTCTTTAAAGCTACTAGAAGTAGAAATTATCTTTTTTAATATGTTTCTACTAACTTCTAATTATTTATATTTTTTCCTTTGTACTTAAGTAATACAAGCATTTATGTCATGTATATACATTAATGATTATTTAAATTAAAGGAATCATATAGAAGTAGATAAATTTGATAATATCTTGTGGAGAAGCTTCTTCAAAGCTTTAAACATATGGATGTGACTTTCTAAGTATTGATAGGTGATTTGTAGGTGATTAATAGGTTCAAAACTTGGCCAATAAGTTGGCCATGTATTACACATATTAACCCCCTGCTTTACAAGTTGACCACATGTTGTATATGTTAGTTATTTATTATAGAAGTTGGCCATATGGTGCATATGTTGAAAATTTGCCTTACAAATTAGAGATATGTTTTGCAAGTTGGACACATGTTGGATGTTTTGTAAAATGTAAAAATATAGCTTCCTAATTAGATAATATATATGGAGGCAAGAATGAAGCCTTTTTTATTCTTGTAAATGCATTTTTTTGTTTTTAGTCTTATTTTAAGCATGAGATACAAAGATTTATATGCTAAAGAAGTTTGATGGAACAAAATCAAAATTTCAAGGATTTTTATAATAAGTCAAACTTTATTTAAACTAATATTATTTCTAATATTCTAATGGATTTACTCAAGTTTAATTATTATGCACATACTAATTTCAAAAAGTTTTTTTTATTTGTATTTTTGATGGAAAATAGTTCACAATTCCTATGTAAACTCAAGTTCATTCTTAGAAGTGTTTACGATCATATTTTGAAAAAAATAATAAAATAAAAGAAAAGATAAAATTTCTATCTTTACAAAAAAAATTATAATTAGATACTATCTATGCTATTAAATTCCAAAACCTTGCTTGCAATGTCGATTGGAATAATAAAAAAAATTATTAATGAATTTCATTATGGATTTCAATAATTTCAAAAAATTAACATTAGTAATGCTAAAAAAAAATTTATTGCAAAAATTTATTATTAAATTCATTGCATACAAAAATTTATTTTTTTAAAAGGTTCTAAGAAGAAAAATTTGGTTGGAAAGAATCAAATCAAGTCATGATAAGAACTCATAAGTTTTTAGAAACTTATTTTATGAAGCCGAAATTTATACAAATTGATATAATAAGTTTGAAATATTTTGATGAACAAAAAAATACTTAATATTGTAGGCTTCAAATAATCAAATCAAGCTTCAAAATAAGAGAAGCCCTAAGTTTATATATAAATTTTCCCTTTTTGAGTAATTACACCAAATATACAAGCCTTAAGTAAGCAACAACACCCAAAATATGATAAAATCCTCTAAAACCTTGTATATTCTTGTGTGGAGATTTTATCGAACTTCAATACATCATATCTCCTAATCCGACCGTCCAAAAAAATTCAAATTTTATATGAAGTACTGATATATTCTTATTAACTTCTACAACAATTTTCAACTGCAAATTCATTGCGGATCTTGAGATATCTTGAAAACCCTAACAGTCGCTTCAAACCCTTGTCTTTATACACCCACATGCAATTTTCTTTATATCTCACAAAATATAAGCTCAAATGCCACGAAATTTATATTTATAGCTTTTGAACACAAAATTTTACATTCTTTAAAAAATTTGAGCAAAAAATTCGTCTGAAAACTCAAGTTATGGCTCCAACCATTACTATAAACAAAACCGCTCATTTACTGCCTTTGATTTAGAAGTGCCGCCTTCAACTCCTTATAACTCCTTCATATGAACTCCAAAAGCAATAATTCCTTCATAAAAGATGTAGGCCTTGAAATGGCTATTCCAATCACACCTTCCGATCTTCAAAAGCTGCTATAAAACTCCTCGTACTCTCAAAAGAGTAACAGTATGTCTTAAATTAATAGCTTAACTTCAAATGGCTATAAATTTTTCACCCTAACTCCAAATCCTCTAATTTTTGCACACAAATTGTACTCCAAGTCCTAAACTTTATAACCCTAGCTTGTAATCTCCGAATGCCTTCTTTGAAGTCACCGAAACTCTTCTTAAGGTTGTAGGCAGCCTCCTCAAAGTCCATTGGACATGATATTTGACCAATAGGGATGAAGTTCCTCATTCCTTGCCTTCATGCGACCATGCCTTACTTTCATCCCTTCCAATTAGCCTCCTACTAGTTTAGATTTTCATCCTTAGGCTTCCACCTTCTCCCAAGGCTTCATACTAAACATTTAGGTCCTATATATATATTTTTAATGTCAAAATCAAAACAAGTAAAGAAATAAAGTAAAGTTTCTTATACCAACTCCTTTTAATTTAATCTACTAGCTACTCTAACACACATCTAGATTTATTAACATATCATATGTTTTAATTAATTTTTACATACTGTAAGCATTTACAGTATGACAGTGCTACGTGGTTAACTTCTTCCACAAGTTAATATACAAAGTTAGCTTGTTACACAAGTTACTAACACGGAGTTAACTTGTTGGCTAAGTTTATAACCTAAAAATACATCTAAAGTCAAAACCATGTCTATAGAGCTTCTAGAAAGCTTCACTAAAAGACTTTATGAAATTAATCTATATTTACATACTTCTACCTAATCATATAAGTAATTATTGAGGTAAATGTATATGTCTGTGATAGTATGAAGTTCTTTGTAAGATTCTCTTAAATATATTCCTTGAGTCCAACCAAATTATTTTGTGATAAATTCTAGATTGGTCCAAATGACGGTTGAGCTTCTTCTTGAAGGTCAATTGAGGAGTATAGGAATAATATTTGAAAAAAAATATCTATATTTTTTTTCTCAAATACAACTTAAAATTCTTAATATTGGCTTGGAATGCCACTTGAAGTCTTTCAATTATTAAAAATAGGTGTGGCATAAATGATATAAGATAATCCTTATTTTGCAACATACAAGAAAGTTCTTACATCTACAACTACAAGTTAAGTTGTATTAGACTTATGGCTTTTTATTTAATTAATTATATTCTTAATTATACTTTCAAAAAAGTTAAGACTATAAAAAATTTAATCTATTTTAGGATTATATCTTATTAGCTATAATAAACCTCAAATGACTAGATTTAAAAGAGATTTAATAATGCTAAATATTACAAAGCTACTATGACCATTAATTATTACTTCTATAAGAAGGATTTTATGAATTACATCTCTTGAAGACAATAGACAACTATCTATTACTTCTCTATGAATGGATTTAGTTTTCTTCACTAAATATATGCTTTATCTTTTGGCAAATTCTTCATCTAAGAAATATGCTAAGGCACTTGAATTTAAGAAGGCAGAGGCTTTGTGATATTTAGGTCCTAAAATAATATTTATTATATTACAAGACGAGGATTTTGAGGAGAGAATAAGACATTCATTAGCTACTATACAAGCTTACAGCTGCATAGTCCTTATTATAGTTAGATAAGCT